GAAAAAACGACATAGTAAAGTATGACTTCTGAAATTATGAAAAAAACGTCCAAAATGTGACGAATGCCACAGAGAAGCAAAACAGTCTTAACAATAATTTCTTCTTCTCGTGTCTACAGGCTTCGACTCGAGCATCGGGAAGGTTGTCAGTTACGAGTCCGCTACGACCCGGCGGATTTGTGGGAAACCAATCTTAGACAACAACGCAGTGAACCTCTTCTCCTCCGTCCTCGTCGCCCTCGTCCTGCCGGGGATGGCGTGGGGGCTGTGGGTCCAGTAAACCACTGACGTACGACACAAGTACAACACAAATCGAGAAGGTGGAAAATAAATACTAAAAAGATAGAAAGACTATTCCACGGCTTGTTCAACTTAAAGCCTCAGACACAAGTTCGTAGGTTTATTACAGATGCTGTTCAACAGGTAGAAGGTGAAGTCAACAATCGCTGCTTTAACGTAAAGAAAATAAAATTAATGCAGCATAAGTAGAAATTCACAAAATATCTAAATTGAAACAAGCAGAGACTCGATGTGTAAATAACAATTATTGTATATTTATTCTAAAACAATCGTGTGTGGGGCCTGTTGTACAATCCCTTGATCAAATGTTGATGTAAGATATAAAGTGTCTGTTCTTGACCTTTGACCTTGCGTGGTGGCAACAGACGACACGGACGGCGGCAGGTTTCCAGAGGTATCACCGTTTTTATTTCAGAGTGTCTGAGAGAAAAGGCACTAAACCAAACTGGGAGAGTGACATTGAACGGGATGAGGAGCAGGTTTAAATCAACATGTAGAAAGTTTACAGTCGTACTAACACACACTCACATTGTACTATCTACACAACCCATTAACACAAAGGTCCGACAGTTTGGTTTTTTCCTTTAACCCAACAATCCTGAAGCTTCAGCGACGACTGAAACAACAAATCAAACTGAAAGATCATAAATAAAATGATGTTGATGTTTTTGATTCCAGTCTGAACGAGGATTTAAACTCATGTTGTCATGTTTATAATTGTGATCTTCTGATTATCTTTGCAAATGTACATCCTTCAACTGTGGGAAGAAAATTCCCACGTAACTCAAATAAAGCTTATGCAGACTTTAATTTATTAAATAATAAATTATTGTTTGGTCGTCTTTTAAAACTTGGTCATTTCGTCTTTGAAACTGTAAAAGAACAATGGAGCCACTGTTAGAAAAACTATCTCAGGTCTGAAGAAGTCAAATATTTTCAGTTGAACTTTGACAGATGAAGTTGTTTAACGAAGAATAAAAATCAAAGAAGTTGTAATTTTACAAGGAAAAAAGTATTAATTTGAGCATCGACTGTGAATTTAAGTCAAATGTTTTTAGCACAAATCAGAGAAATATTCTAAAAAAAAAATTAAATTTTTCAAACAGTTATTTTTTAGTTATGTCGAACAGAAAAGGTTTTACTAAAGAGAAATCAAAATGTTTGAAGTTATGAGGAGAATTTTTTTAGGAGAACAACGTTGCATGATATATTTTCTCTTTGACAATTAAATAATTTGATTAAACTACTACTTTTAGTTTTTGTCTTAAACTTGTTGTGACGTTACAACTATCTTATCTCTTTAAATTATTTACTCTCTTGTAAAATTACAACTTAAATCAGATTTTGAATTAATGCTTTGCTTCACTTTTAACTGAGGAACGTAAAAAGATTTATTGCAGCCATGTTACACTCGTATTTAATGACTGAAGAGTTTTAATAATTTATTTTGCAGCAGAGTTTGAAAGAATCAAGTGTTGAAGCTCCTCGAACGGATTTAAATGTCGACATAAATCAGTTTGAACTCTTTATATAACGGAGTGTTTCAGGTTTACATGAAAGAAACTCACCAAACCTCCAGATCAACGACAATGACGTCAGTGTTTCTTGTGAAGATTGAAAACAACCACAGTTATTCACACTCACACGGGGAGGCGGGGGGGGGGAGGTTTCCAGAAATGATTGGACGAGAGAGCGAGAAAGCCAGAATCAGGGGGAGGGCGGGCCTTCAGGGATGGCGAGGTGTCCGTCACAGCTGATCTTTGTAGTAGCCGAGCTTAGCGAAGGACATTTCCCTGCGGAGCTGCATCACCTCCCAGAACATCTGCTCGGCTGAAACACAGAAACACAGCGAGGTCACATGGTGGTCACATGATCCGACAGGTAAAAAAAAAAAAAAGTATTTATAAAAGATTTTTTTCACTCAGTAAAATGTTTGATTTATCAAAACATTTCACAACCGTTTATTTCTCTTGTTTATTACCAGAAAGAAAAAGCTTTTTAAAAATGTAAACGTCTAACATGTCACATGGTTCTTTAACTTCTGATTAGTTCCCAGATGTAACTGAGGTTCATTCTCACAATAAGTGATGAAAAGTCATAAATTCAGCAGCAAAGTAATGATTCTTTTCAGAAAACACTTGAGTTTGACCTCTTCCTCTATTTGAAACCGTCTAAGCAATGTCTCAGGTGGTACTCTGTGTGTGTGTGTGTGTGTGTGTGTGTGTGTGTGTGTGTGTGTGTGTGTCTCTCACCGTCCTGCTGTTTGACGAGGCCTTGGTGGATGTAGCGAATGTAGGTGAAGAAGTTACACACTGCTGTGATCTGACAAACACAAAAACACAACAAATCAGCAGCTTGAACCAACAATGTGTGGAAATCAGATACACTTTTTGTGTGTGTGTGTGTGTGTGTGTGTGTGTGTGTGTACTCACTCTGTATCTACAGTAGGGAGAGACGTAGTAATAACTGGACGAGTCTCCAAACTTGATTCTGTGCTTACAGGTTTTGGTCTGTCCACTGAGGGCACATTTTCTATCAGAGACACAGGAAGAGACGGATTATCACGTTTTTAACTTGTGTCAACGGGAGGAAAATTTACTTTCACCAATAAAAACAAGCTGAATATGACTAATAAAGACTGGAGGGAGCAGGGAGGGAGCAGAGGAGGGAAGGAGAGAGGATCTCTCTGATGAGCCTGGACAGAAGGTCAGAAGGAAAGAGGGAAGGAGGGAAGATTATGACGAGTTACCAGGAGGTGGAAGTTGTTTGGAAGAGCCAGGCAGGGTCGAGAGAGGTTAAAACAAAATGCAGATGGGAGTGAGCGAGTGAAGACTTACGTGACGAGCTCTGCCCTGCGACCACTAGAGGAGGAAATCGAGGGAAGATGAAGAGATGATGATGAAGGAGTGAAAGCTTGATGAAGATGAGTGAGAGAGTGTGTGTGTGTGTGTGTGTGCGTGTGGGGTCTTACTTTGGTCCTCCACATTCCACCGCTGAGGCTTTGACCACCGGCAGCGGCTGGAAACCGACCGGCTCCACACTGAGCGTGTTCTGCTCCACAGATTCTAAGATGGCCGAACCCAGCTGAGGGACAGAAGAGGACGTGAGAAGACAGAAGAGCTACAGCTGCTCTGTAGAAACAAGTGTAAGCCCTTCCTGCAGCTCGTCTTACCTCGCTCTTGCTGAAGGTGAGACAGGGGAAGATGTCCTCACGGTAAACTCGCTCCAGGAAGCAGCAGCCACGGTCGAGCGTCGGCTCCTCCCTCCACGCCTTGAACTCGCTGAACAGCTGAATGTCCACCTGCAACAACACGGATCAGTCACACAGGGTTTCTGTGTTACACTTAACATTCCCAGAGTCACAGCTGGAGTCAGATGTGTGTGAGCGCTCCTACCTCTCTACACTCTCGTACGATGGGCTGCGTGGCCGACGGGTCGGGCTGCGTCCCCAGAATGGCAGAGGAGGTGCTCTTGTTCCTGCTGTGACCCTTCCTGAAGCCACTCTTCACTCCAGAGGGGAGTTCACCCACGGGGGAGGACGGGGAGGAGAGCACCAGCGTTTTCAGGGCCTGGACCTCCGCCTGGAGCACGTCAATCTGAGGAGGAAGAAGAAAAAGTTTGAAGCCACTTTTCAAAAGTTCGCTGAAGGTTTAGTTTCTACTTTTAGGCTTTAAAGTAAAAACACTATAATTTTTTAACTTGTATTCCTGATCATTCAGGTTTTAGTAGAGCTCCAGATGAAAGAGTTGTTCTTTAGAAGTAAAGAAGTAATTAACTACTGAGGCAGACTCAGTGTGTGTGTGTGTGTGTGTGTGTGTGTGTGTGTGTGTGTGTGTGTGTTCAGTGTCATCACCTTCCCCAGAGCTTCTTTCAGCTGTTTTTCAGCATTCGCCTGTTTCACGTTTGCTTCTCTGACCATTTTGTGAGCCTCCTGCAAAAAAACACACACAATATATTTCTTAGGATTTTTTTTTTTTAATCTACACAAACTCGATGCATATTTAAAGGAACAGTTCACTCTAAAATAAATATAAAAGCTTTTGCTGTGAGCATGAAGACAGAACACACAGATAAAGTCCGAACACCTTGAGAAAATATAGAAAACAAGCGAGACAAACACAAGGAAGAGGAATGACAAGAGGAACAAGTTCTGAAGGTCGACCGGACAGAAGTGTGTCAATCAACACCTGATGGATTTTATACTCTATCTCTGGAGTCACAATATCTAAATGTCTCATCACCACAAAAGGTTCAAATCCCCCAAAAAACAAGCAAATGAATTCTCATATTCTAGAACCTGGAAACAAGGATGATGGACGGACTTTTATATTCACGGTTCTTATTCAGAAAAGCTGTTAAAAAGCAAAAGCCAACTCTCATTAATTCAAAAATCGAAAAAACTGCTCCCTCTGGTCTCCTCCTCCTCCTCCTCCTGCTGCTCTACAGGCTCCACCCCTCGCCTGACGTTCCCCACATGTTCCTGTTGTTGTGAACGAGTCGGACTCGGACAATCTCCAGATGTTTCCAGACTTCGTGTCTGAAAACAGCTGATGACACGGTTACGTGGATGTTTCACCTCCCAACACTTTGCAGGAGCTGTCGCGTCTCCATTTTATATTTCTGGACCTGAAGATGTATTTTAGTCCCGTGTCTGTCTGGCCGCTGCTTCAGGAGGAAGGGAAACAGCAAACAGGAAGCAGAGGAGACGGACAGACGGAGGAGAGATGGACCGACCTGGAAGAGACTGGCGGTGAGCTCCTCCAGCTCCTGGCCGAGCTGGTCTCTGACTTTAGACAACCTCTCACACTCCTCATCCTTCAACAGCAGCTCCTTCCACCCACACACACACACACAGAAAACAATGGCCAAATAAAGACATGGAAGTAAAATCATAAAATGGCAACGACAAACAAAGAGATGGAGAAAATAAAAATGAGTGAAATATGTTTGAGTAATAATCAGTTCTGTTTTAAATCCTCGGACACAGAACGTTGATGCTTTATTTCTCTTTTAAAACGATTCCTGTGGATTCATTCAGACGATTTATAAACACTTTGTGATCTCATGAGATTTAGAGCAGAGAGAGAGACGTGACAGACGAACGTCACTGTTTCTAACAATAAATCCATCGATTTATTTTCACATCATTTCATGTAATCGATACCGGCCTGTTCTATAATGTCCGACACAGGCATCAAATGGCAGA